ATCTCTTTCAGGTGGTGAATGGTGTATTCTTTCTATGGTTATTTTACCTTCTGGTTCTAGGACTTCAGGGCAGTTTTCCTTTATGATTTCCTGAAAGATACTGTCCAGGCTCTTTTTTTCATCATGATTTTCAGGTAGTCCAATAATTTTTAAATTGTCTCTCCTGAATCGATTTTCCAGGTCGGTTGTTTTACATGAGGTATTTTATTTTTCATCTATTTTTTCATTTTTTTGTTTCTGTTTGACTGATTCTTGCTCTCTCATAGAGTCATTAGTTTCCATTTGTCCAATTCTAGTTTTTAACAGATTGTTTTCTTCTGTTAGTTTTTGTACTTCCTTCTTCAATTGGCCAATTGTGTTTTTTAGGGACTTGTTTTCTTCAGTGTATTTTTTTTCCAATTGGCCAATTGTATTTTTAAGGACTCTTCTACCTCTCACATTTGACTTTAAAATCCTTCTTGAGCTCTTCTAAGAAGGCTTTTTGGGCTTCAGACCAGTTCATATTCCCTTTTGTTTGCAGATGTGGGTTTGTTGACAATGTTGTCCTCTTCAGAATTTCTGTCTTGATCTTCACTCTTCTCATAATATGAATCTATGGTATTTTTTTTTACTCATGGTGTGTCTTTATTCCCTGGACTTTAAAGAGATTGAGCTCTCCTGCTGGGGAACAGAGGGCACTGACCCAAGCTTCTTGTGTTGGGAGCCTAGGTCTTGGTCACTGGCTTTGTGTGCTGGGGCCTCTTATGTTGGCAATTGGAGGCTGTAGGTTTCTGGCAGCTTACCTCATGTTGGGCTGGAATCAGCAAGGCTGGAACTTTCAGGCAATTCTAGGTTGCCTGCTTTTCCTTTCCTTTAGCTTTCTTCAGCTCCTTTTAGATGGGTGCTGCAGGGTGTTTATCTGCCTGGGGCCCCTTGCAGTGCTGCCTTCCTTGTTTCTGCTAATGCACCGGGAGATTCCTTTGAGATATACTGCTGAGGCACCTGGTGGTTTTCTGAGCTGGTTTCCACTGGTTCCCCCCCTCCAACTTGAGGCACTCGAGGTCCAGGTGTTGGTGTTTGCCTGCTCTACCACCTGGGCTTCAGGATTTCTTCTTGACAGTTGGAGGCTGTAGGGTTCTGACAGCTTACCTGTGTTGGGTTGGAATCAGCAAGGCTGGGACTTTAGGAACCTTTAGGTTGCTTTCTCTTCTCCTTTCAGATGAATGCCACAGGGTGCTTATCTGCCTGGGGCCCTTTGTAATGCTGCTTCCCTTATTTTTGCTGAGGCAGTGGGAGACCAGTCTGCTGGGCTGGTGCACTGCTGCTCCCTGTCTTTCTTCTAGTTCAGTTCTTCCAGGGTTTTTTTGGGGGGGTGATATTTTCTGGGTTTTCAGAGGTTGATAGGGGAGAGTGAGAGTGACTACCTTTTTACTCTGCCATCTTGGCTGATTCTTTATTTGTGAGTAAGGAATGATGAGTGCTTTTCATAATGGCTGCAAATTCCCTCTTAAATTTGAACTAGAGTGTTGAACTTCTTTTCCCATTGTGAGGTTGTTTTTCTACTGCCATTATCCCGTTTAGTCTCTAATGTCTAGAATCATCACTACCCCAGAATAATTTGATTTAATTCATTAACAGACTGCAGAGTCTGTTATACAAATATATACATATACATATATAATATGTATATGTATATATATATATACACACACACACACACACAAATATGTGCACATGCACACACACAAATAATATCTTAGTATTCAGAGAAGAAAGGGAATGACTCTGTGTATGGTGCCACTCTTTTCCTTTAAGTTCAAAACTACTTCAGTTCTACTTTCTACACTGGAAAAGGTACAGAATTGCATACTGGTGACCTGATTTTGATACTTCTTACCTGTGTGCTATTGGGCAAGTTACCTAATCTCTCTGTTTCTTATTTTCTCATCTGTAAAATGAGGGGAGTCAAGCCAGATTGCTAGACCAGATGCTCAGAAGAAACTGATTTTTGAGTGATTCTTAAATATTTCCATTTTCTGTTATTTTGAAACTTTTATGACAGACTTTGTTATAGTGGAAAAGTTGAGGTTCTTGGTGGAATTCAGTGTAATAAATTTGTTCTAAATGTTAGATTGAGGGTCGTATGTTCTGTGTAGGAGACAGTTGAAGGAAGAGGAGATATACCAAGGTGGAGCTACAAACTTACATTTATTAGTGGGGCAGTGGATAGAGCTCTGGCCTTGGAGTTAGAAGGACCTGAGTTCAAATCTGGCCTCAGACCAAACACTTGATACTTAAGTAGCTGTGTGACCATGGGCAAGTCACTTAACCCCAACTGCCTAGCAAAAAGGAAAAAAGAAACCAGCTTACATTTATTAAACCTATTCATTAAGCTAGGAACCTATAGGCTTGAGGTAGTAGTGGGGAAGGAGAGAAGGAGAAGAAGGAATGAGAGAGAAAATCCAGAGGGCAGTTTGGAAAGAAATGAAGTTGTGGCTGTCCTTGAGTGGAGGATTGGGAGGAGCCATTAGGTAGAGGCTGCAAAACTAGAGTATATTTTCAGTGTGTGAATGTCTGGTTTGGAGTGAGCATTTAGGGTGAAGAGGTTTCTGGAACATGATGGGGAAAGTCTAGAGTGTAACCTGGAAATAGATATGATTTTTTAAAATTAATTAATTTATTTTTAGTTTTCAACATTCACTTGCACAAGATTTTGAGTTCCAGATTTTTTCCCCTTCTCGCCCCTCCCCCCTAAGATGGCCTTGCATTCTGAATACTCCTTCCCCTAATCTGCCCTGCTTTCTATCCCCCCCTCCTCCTTCTCTTATCTCCTTCAATTTTCCTGTAGGGCAAGATAGATTTCTATACCCTATTGCCTGTATAATAGATATGATTTTTGCTTCATAATTGGCTATCTGTTTTAATAGTGAAACTCAGTGGCATCTCAATGAATGAAGGTGTTTTGAGTAGTTTAGGTGAAAGAGGCCTATTTTTAAAGAGTTATCGGTGAAAATCACTTAATGTTTCTCATTGTGGTTTTTCTTAGTATATTTTCATATTTGTTCTTAGCTTCCTTTTGTGTGTGTGTGTGTTTTGTGCTTTATTTCCCCCCCAAAATATTAATGAGTTGGAGGTGATTTTTAACAATCTTACTTTTAGAATATTTTATATGGTATACAGTGAAAAGAATCTGGTTCTTCTGCTTTAATGATCACTGTGGATGACTGGGATTTTTCTCAAAGCATTTGCCTTAGGTTTTAAATTTAGTTTCATTGGAGTAGTTTGCTTAGATAATCAGCTTGTTTTTTAAAAACATACACACTGATTCTCTCCTTCTCCTTCCCTTATTGTTCAAAATGTAAAACTCCTACCCTTTCAAAGGTTGAAAATATTTTTTCTTATTGAGGAAAAAGATTTCTTGTTAGCAATTCTGGAGTTTATTCCTTGTCCTTCATTATTGAAAACAAATTTGGGGGTGACTAACCTGGTTAATGTATGACTTTGTGAATAGGTTAACTCTTCCTCCCTCTGCTGGCTTTTGAGGAATGCTACATAGAGTTAGTGGATAATTTTTTAAGAAAAGAAGCATACAAGGTTGCCATTTCATATAAGAACCAGTAAAAATCTCTGCTCATTCATAAATCAGTTCATCTGTGTCTAGGAATTGAAAGTTTTATTAGAATGTTTTCATGTTCTAATGTTTGATAATACTTCTTTCTCATTTTCTAAGTATGTATTAGAATACCTGTAATTGTAGAATCTTCATATGGCAGTGAACTTGATGGTTTTGTCTATCATCATCATCATTATTGTTTTGAGAAGTTTGAATGAAAGATGATCAAAGCTGCATTTATAAAAGGGGAGGGGGAGCATTAAGGCAGATTTCAGATTGTTTCTTTTCTTTAGATTAATCAGGAAGAACTGAAATTGGAGAGTAAGAGTCCTCCCTCCCACCACGCTTTGCTTTAAAATGTTTTATAATTGCTCTTTTCTCTAAATTAAAGTGCAAAAATTTCACATAGGTCTTCAGATGATATTAGTTATACACCTAATTAGGTCCAACCAGTGGTCTGCTCACCTCGATGCTTTCCTTTGTCATGCTGGCCTTAAGGGATGGTTCGCCTTCCATGACATTACCTTTACAAAGTTACTAATGAACACCCCCAAAATTCCCCTTAAAAGTCAATTGTTTATTGAGATCTTTAATTTAGTAACACGATTTTAAAAAATATTAAGATTATGATCTGTCCCAGTAGTAATATGTTTGTGTTTGTAGAACATCTTTCTCCCAGAATTTTAATGTAGCAAGACTTGTTTCATAGCATAGTGAAAAGAGTTCTGGATTTGGAATCAGAGGACTTGGGTTCAAATATAAGCTCTGCTACTTATTGTCTTTATGATTTTGGGTAAATCACTTGGTCAGTGTTTTTGTGTATAAAATGGTTGTTGGACTAAATGGCCTTTAAGGTCCCTGTCACTCATCTATGAATGTAGCCTTCCTTATATAACCATGTTGTTTCACAAGCTCGTTATTCTTCTAAGAGCTTTTCTTTCTCAGTTAAGGTAAGCTACTATTCTACAACTTGTTATAGGGTTGCCTGGGAGCACTGAGAGGCTAAGTGACTTTCTTGGGGTCACAGAGTGGTATGACATAGTTTTTCAGTTTATCACTTAACCCATGTCTTGCTGACCCTGAAATTGGCTCTCTATGCATTATGCTGTGCTACCTCTTACGTTAAGAGTTTTATCTGCTAATATTATGTCATTTTTATTATTTATGCAGAATGACAGAATTTCAAAATTTCTAGTAAAAAGCAGAACCCAGGTTGTTTTTTTCCTATTAGAAAAATTGATCTGAATTAAAAAAAACAACAAACCCAGTCATACCTTACTTTGGGGTAGCTAAAATATTAACATAATTACTAGTTACCACCTGATTCAGAAAAGTAGGTATCATTCTGTTGTTTAAGTAATATGCTATTTCTGTTCATTGATATTTTTTTTTGTATATTTTTGTACAGGTCACTTTCCTGTTGAATCCTTGATTTAGTTTCCCAGTCCTCAGACCTGCTCCATGATCTAGATCTAGGAAATACTCAGGATTTTGAAATGAAGATGGAGGAGGCTGTGGGAAAAGTTGAAGAACTTACTGAGTCTACAGTCCCACCAAAGACATCTGAAAAACAAGAAACAGTGCAGACAGAAGATGGACCTATAGAACTAGAATCTCATTCTCAGAAAGGTGGTGCGGGTGATTCTGCAGTTCTTTCATCAATGCCTTGCCTGCTGATGGAATTGAGACGGGACTCCTCAGAGTCTCAACTGGCATCTACAGAAAGTGATAAACCAACAACTGGCCGAGTTTATGAGAGTGACTCTTCTAATCATTGCATGCTTTCGCCTTCCTCCAGTGGACATCTGGCAGACTCAGACACGTTGTCTTCCGCAGAAGAGAATGAGCCCTCCCAGGCAGAAGCTGCTGTAGAAGGAGATCCTTGTGGAGTGTCTGGATCAGCTGTTGGTCGCAAGTCTAGACGGTCTCGATCTGAAAGTGAAACATCAACAATGGCTGCCAAGAAAAACAGGCAGTCCAGTGATAAGCAGAATGGCCGAGTTGCCAAGGTGAAAGGTCACCGGAGCCAAAAGCACAAAGAAAGAATCCGGTTACTGAGGCAGAAGCGGGAGCTTGCTGCTCGCAAGAAGTATAACCTGCTGCAGGACAGCAGTACCAGTGATAGTGACCTGACCTGTGACTCAAGCACGAGTTCATCAGATGATGATGAAGAAGTTTCAGGGAGCAGCAAGACAGTCACTGCAGAGATACCAGGTAGAGGATGTTTTTTAAACTGAACGGTAAAGCACCTGACACCGTTTCTCAGCTGTCTGGCTCAGTTAGATGAGTGACGTTTGAGAAAAACCAGGAGACCTGCAGCTCTGTGTAAATTTGAAGACTGCAGTGTATTAACAAGACATGGCCAATTAAAAACAAAACAAAACAAAAACCAAACCTGTTCTGAGGTTTCCTGTGCATTTTTGCACATCAGCAAAAATATTTAAATGGTAAATGATAGGGACGAGACTTTTTAAGTCATGGAATTTCTCACAGATCTTTTTCTCTGTAAACCCATTAAATGAACTCCCATTATTGTTTTTTAGTATTGATTAGATTTAATAATCGTTACACAGCTTCATTACTAAATACTTTCTCCTGAAGAGTAGGCACCTTGTTTGATTATACAGCAGCTGCACCTAAGTTTATGGTGTCTGAAGTAACATGTTCATCTTTTATCTGAGTTTTCTCATAACTCCCTTATTTATTGCTCAATACAGTGCTTGCTCCTTTTATGTTTTATGATTCTGATATACATTTCAATGCATGACAAGCTTAGTTGCTCTTGTTGTGCATTATTTCTATGTGAAGCTGTCACTTATTTCATTAAAAAATTGTTTTTGCAAAATTTCCCCCTTAAATCTTCAAAGCTTTTAAAAATTTTGAACCAATCTGTTGATACTAGCTTTCATGTTTCAAGGGTCTATAATTTATTAAGTCTGCTCCACCATATAATTGGATATGACAAAACTGTTACAGGGGCAGCTTTATAATTCATAGAATAAGAAAGGTGAGGTCTTGAAAGTTTCTTAATTGGTGAATCTTCCTTTCTGAATGTAGCATGATCAGAATATTTTGCAAACTGCTTACCTAGTACCTATTTGATCTTAGTCTTGTTTTTGCAACCCTAAAGAGGGGGAAGTTTTGGTTTTCCAAATTTTTGTGGGTGGTCATACTATTTCTTTCTACTTTTCTGAAGGTTGTTTGGGGTGTGCTTACCTCCACATGATAGAAAACAGCATATTGCTGATGTAAAAGGAGCTATTTAAAGGAAGACAGAATTGGTTAGCTAAATCCACAAAGACCCAAACCTATATAAATTGCATAACAAGAATGATTGTAAAGCACTTTATACATATTAAAGTGCTGTATAAATGATTATAAGAATAAAACATAGTATCACCTGTACAATGTTATGCATATTAAAGATGAGTTTTTCAGAGTCTTTAGAAATATTTGTCACTGTTTGACTATCTCCATTGAGTGAGTGGGGTTTGTTTCCCTATGGGAGCTATCTCTTTGATATATGGTCACACTGGAGCTCCTTCTGGGAAGTGGGTTAAATGATGAAAATGAAGCTCAGCATTTAAATACAAGAGAGAGGCAAAGATGTTTGAGTTGTTATAAGGTAAAGTCTAGGTTGGGGTTTTTAATCTTTTTTTTTGCATCATGGACCTCCTGAGAATGTGTTTGAATGCATGCACATACAAATACATAGTATTATAAAGGAAGCAAATTACATTGAAATACATTTATCAAAATATTTAAAAACACCTTTCCCTTTCCCTAAACAAGGTTAAAGATGCCAGGAAAAGAACCCCTACTCTAGATGATTTTTAAATTTTTATACTTAATAGTGATTTTAGTAGTAGCAAAAAAAGGAACGCCTTATAACAACTTTGAAAATCTTTCCTCTTATGTTCTGTTGGTGAATTCCATTGCTTATGCCCAGCAGTTAAATTTGTCCATATGATGGCTTTCTGATACTTCTACTTTTTAAAGTTTACTAAATACATAGTTTTCAGGTTTATAATTTGCTTCTGTGATGTAAGATAGCTGTAATTTACCCTACAGTTTTTCTTCAAATGTAGGTTTTTAAAAGTCTGGGTTAAATAAACTGCTCATTGAAGACCAGGCAAAGTCCATATAAAGGTAGTGTGAGGAATGACCTAATTCTCCCTGTTGCTATGCCTAATTCAAGAGCCAAGTTTATATGTTTCTATTTTCTGATAGCTTTGCTAGTGGGTTAGCTTCATTACTTTTATTTTAAATCAATAAATAAGTGTTGTTCAGTTTCCTATTTCTACAGAGTTTATTAGCTAAAAAAACAAAAATTCATGATTTCTCTGAATACATTTTCTGACTCGCTAGTTCATATTGAGTGAGAATGACATGTAGTGAGTTTTAAAATAGTGCAGTGGTATTTGAAGTGACTACTAAGAAGCAAATCATTAATAAGATGAAGGTCGGAATAACAATAGTTCACATTTATAGAATGCTGGAAGAGTGTCATAATGCTCTCCTTATAGCACCTCTTTGAGGTAGATAGTACAAGTATTTATTCCTATTTATAGATGAAGAAATTGAGGCATAAGGAAGTGAAATGACTGCCTAGGGTCATACAGCTGGTAATTGCTGGAGCTAGGATTTGAACTCAGGTTTTACCAGTGCTCTTTCTGTATACTACTACTATATAGCTTAGATTGTAAATGGAAACTGAGTTTAATTTGTGATTATGCTCTTTACTTTAACTCTAAAACTGGATCATGTGGATTTTTAATATTAGTCACCTCAACAAAATCATAATGTCATTGCTGAAATCATTTTGCTGGCATGCATTTATTTTTGATGTGCTTATTATTTTGACATAGATATACCTCAAGCTCCCAAGAAGAGTCAGTGTGTTTTTTAGTATTGAAATAATGAGCCTTATTTGCCCAAAAGACAAATGTTATAAATCCCATTTGCAAATTTAGCAATTCGGATACATTCTGAAAGAACTTAATATAAAAACATGGAAAATGCAGATAAGCTGAAAAAAATGCAGCCAGGCTGACAGAGAACCTTGTGGACAGCTGAATTCAGTAGAATGTCTATGCAGCTTCAAAATCAAGGACAGTCAGGTTGTTTGAGGCATTTGTTATTTGACATCTTTTAAAAATATATTTTAAGAAAAATAGCTGTTATTTTAAGTTTTTCTTGTTTAGAAGTTATCTTGAAAGTCAAAGAGGAATGTATTTTTAAAACTGGACGGATGGGCTTTTACTTTAGTAAATAATTCAATAAATAATTACTGGTTGAGATTCCATGTGTTTGTCCTTAAGAATTGAGTTTATGATTAGGCCAACAAATTATTCTAGAGGTAAGAACTGTTTATTTAGTGCAAGGGCTTAGTTTTTTGATGGACAGCTAGAACTAGATTGTGTCTTGGCTCCATCTGAATGTCCAAAAAAGATGTTTGTTTTTAAGAATAAAGTCTCTTGGCAAGTTTCCACAGATTATCTGGATGTTTTAGTTAATTGATTTCGAGAATTGTGAAAAAATAGTATATGGATAGAGAATATTTTATAGTGAATATTAATGTAATGATAATGCATAATTATAAAAGGTTTATCTTTGAGGAACAGAAGTTCTTTATAAAAATAATCTGATTAATAGATTATCCATTATTCTGTTGATAGTTTCTTTTAGAGCCTTCTTACGTTTAAAGGGACTGCTTTTTAGAATTCTGAATATAAATTAGACTATAATTAGATTCTCAAAGTCTGTTCTTGGAAAAGAATTTTTATGTTTAATTCATATGGCTTTTTAAAAAATATATACAGAGAGGAAAAGTTAGGATTTGACCTAACTCAAGAAATTTAATGCTTTGGAGAAGCTAATCAGTGATGTGTACTAGTACATTTCCAGAGAAAACAAAAATGAAGATTTTTTCCTATACTTGTGTGTAGTTCTTTAAAAAGATATTTTTGAGTAATTCTCCTTACCCTTTGCTTTAAAATTATACATTATATTTAAATTATATTGTGAATTCTTTTATGTGGTATCTGGGTAGTGTTTGCATCTTAGATTTGCAAGCTTCCAAGCCTGTGGAAACTTCTGTTGATAGAAGATTTTTGCTGACTTCTTTTATTGATATTAATCTTTTTAGTCCTAGTTCCTTGTTTTCCTCACTTGTTTGTGTAAGTATAGATAATTCTTTCATAAAGGAAGCAAGTAACTCTTAATGTCTTGGTGTACAAGAATGCAAAGGGTAATGCAAACTCTCCCCCCCCCCCCAGAGTATGAGAAAGTTGATAATAGATTGTGTAAATGAATCTAGGAAATTAGAACAGATTCACCTACATTTTGGCCTTTGTGACTTAACCCAGCATCTATTGCCATCCACAACTAATTATCTTTACAGATTGTCTCCATTCTCTAACCGCCCTTCCCCCCAATCATTGCTCAGTACTCTTTCAGAAATAAAGAATCTCTGATGCCATGCAATCAAAACATCCACTTTACTCTTCTTAAACTGTTCATTTAGTTTTATTTGTCCAATCTTTATCTTGTGGTCAGACTCCTTAAAGTAAATGTGGTGTTCTTGAAGTTCCAATTAGCAAATAAGGTAAATGGTATCCTGCAGTCTCAAGAAAGGTAGTAATTTTAATCATAAAATATTGCATGCTGCTTTGGACGTTTGTTAACTGTGAAGACATCTAAAAATTATTTCTGATAAAGGACTTATAGTTTCAAAATTCATAAATTATGGCAATAGAAATATTTATGGATATAGAATAAGCCACTTATAGTTGAAAATATATATACACATACATCTATTTTGAAACAAGGGTATAGTAACATAATGATATTAGTGACCCCCCCCCTTCCCCTCCCCACCCCTTTTCTTAAAAGTATTTAAATCTTTCAGGTAATTGGAAGTTACAGGCTACTTTCTCATCAATTTTGTGTCCACCTGGCCATTAGCATTGTTTATGCTGTTTTCCTGAGTTAGCATGTCTTAGTAAATATAATGTTCTGACTTAATGATGTCTTATCAAATGGCCTCAATGTCTTTAAAGCTGGCTTCAGTCGTGCTGGGGGATCTGGAGGAGCGACCAGGGAAATTCCAGGATTGCTTGACAGGGGCACCGTATGGGATAGGAACTGCATAGGCAATGTCCTGGAAGAGGCCATGAACTGCTTTGCCGAGATGCAGAGGCAGACAGAGGAGA